CAACAGAATTATAAAATAGCAACAAAGCGTGGACGGGAACGAGGGGTTTTAAGATCGAGTGTTAAAATTAAGGGAAAGGCTACTAGTTGTGGAATCGAATTAAGAAGGTGCTCGCGGGAAGCTGTGTCCTCACGACGAGTGCTGGGAAACGAGGCATTTCAGAAAATGACACTTCGGGCTCTGCCCACGAGGAGTCGGATGGACCGTGAGTGTGTACGAGCTCAGGAGACGCTGCGGAAGGGCCGGGATCCGGGCGAGACCACGACAGAGACAGCGCACATGCGACCGGCCGGAAAGCAGGCTCGTCCACTAGGAGAGCCGTCAGCGTGGGCCGGCCCAGTGGCGAGGCAGGAACCACGGAACGGTGACACGCGGGCTGGCGCGGGGCTGGCGCCCGGCCGCAGGGCAGTGCCGCGGGCGCCGCACTCAGCTGTCACGAAGTCACGCACGATGGGAAGGTTGGTGGGGGAGGAGAGCTCTGCCGAGGGCTTCCAGAGGGTTCCGCACCGACAGACACTGAAGCGAAACCAGGAAAAGAGAGAGAGAGAGAGAGAGCTGGGCCCACGGCGGTTGGAACGCGCACAGAAGTCCCCTGCGGAGGCGGTGGCGGCGAGGCGGACGCTGTCCCCGCAGGACCCACCCAGAGGAGGCACAGGAGGGGACCGAAGTAGCCTCGCCCAGGACCCGGTGGTGGTTCCGCCAGCAGACCTGGCGAGTCCCTCAGAAGGAGAACCGCACAGTCGCACCCAGCACAGCCAGGGCGTCACCACGAGCTAAGCTGCAGCCACACAGCACGCAGCGAGACGGCACGAGTCTCGGGGACTGCCGGTGACAAAGGCCAGCACCTGGTCATGGTTTAGAGCAAAGCAAAGCCCCCAGAAAGGCAGGAACGGGAGGTTTGTTCTCAGCAGTGAGACACTGCCGGCCCGGGGCCACACGCCCGTGTGGGAAGCGCTGTCACCAGCGTCAGCAGGCGGCTGGTCCGCTGTCACTGCTCCGCTCGACCGCGTGCTGGACGGAGGTTCTGGCGGGTGTAGACACCGCACGCCGGGAGGAGGAGGGAGAGGGAGGGCCGCTGACCGAGACGTGTGGCTTCCGAGCCACGCCGTCCTACAGGCGGCTCGCGGGCGCCGACACCGTGGCCACTGTGCACGGGGCGCCCCGCAGGCTCCACGCTGCGGCAGAGGCGCGGAGCGTCCGCGGTTGCGGTCCGCGCGGGAATGACGGCTCAGAGATGCCGGCTGGAATGCACTACGCTCAGCGGATTTCCTCACCTCTCTGTGTTTTTTTTACGTGGACACTAGAAAGCAAACTTGCACGCGCGGTTTGCAGCGTCTGCTGCTGGGCAGGGCCGGCGCTGATGGGGAGCCCAGGAGACCCCGCAGAGACGGAGCGGGGCCGACCCAGCAAGGGGAGGTGGCGGCCGTCTGGCTTGGCCGGCCTCGCCCGTCTTCTCTGCGCCGGACGGACAGTCAAGGCAGGACAAAAAGTGTTAGCTAGATCGATGAAGCCTCAGATATGGTGCCCGCTTGTGCATGCAGGGTGGAAGTACAGTTCAAAAAAGGAACAATGGCTTATGCCAGCACTTCTGTCTGATAGAAAGCTGCCCTTCTTGCCATTGCCCTGAAGCCAGACAACTCAATTCCTTCCCATATGTTCCTGGCACCTTTTGAGCTGCTTCC